AAAAATCTAAAATTGCATGAGGCTCTTGGGGGGACATCTAGAACCAAACCAAAACACCTCTCTCAACTCCTAAATCTTCCCAGATTAAGAGTTACAAAATTAGCTTATTCTAGATTTCCCTGCACAGCGCCCACACTGTATTATGGCTTTTCAAGATGTGTCTCCTCACTAGACTGAACTCTCTGGGGTCAAAAAGAAATTTTATAATTACACATAAAATACCTACTACTGGTTTCTAACAATTTGCCAGATATCTTTTCCACCTTTTGCAAACTTTATGCTAAGTCTATAAGGTAGAAATGTTGAAGGTATTTCACTTTCACAAATGAGGAAGCTGAGCTTCAGAGAGCTTACATATATTGCCTAAGGTTGTACAGCAGTAAGCCATTACAGTGAGGAAATCCAGCTCCAATAAAGCCCTTGTTTTTCCGAATCTCTGACACATAATGGTCTTAAAAGTACGATCAAGGTTTGCTTAAATGAAGAATGAAAATAAGAATAAGACTGCTGGAGAAAATCACATTTGACCCACAACTGGCACTGTAGATGGAAAGAAAGGAGCTGGGGGGCTGGACAGACCTCCTGAGGGTCTGCTCCTCAGAGACAGATCGCCAGGGGTTGGAGGTGGGAGTCAGAGTCCAGGCCCGTCTGCCTCCTGACCTCCAATTGCTGGTCTCCAGGTCCGTTTTGTGAACAGCACATGGGTGTTTGGGAAAGACATGTGCCACGTCAGCCGTTTTGCGCAGTACTGCTCGCTGCATGTGTCCGTGCTGACGCTGACAGCCATCGCTGTGGACCGCCACCAGGTAAGAACAGTTTCATCCTATACTTTCTTTCCCCCTCTGGCCTTGCTTTCCTGGAGTTTGCGGGAAACACTTTCAAGAGAGTGCTTTAGGGCTTGTGATGTAGCTCAGGTGCAGTGCCTGCCTGGCAAGCACACGGCCCAGAGTTCAATTCCTGGTACAAAAAAAAAAAAAAAAAAAAACATCTTAGCTCAGTTTTCTTTTTTTAAAATTTTTTATTAGTTTTAATGAGAAAGAAATAGCAATGAGACAGTTACAATAATTAATACATTGCATATTGTTGTCTTCATAGTAGTTATTCATTTTTTATTACAAATTTCAATATTTATTTCAATTGCAGCTGATAGACTGGGTGGTTATTTTGCTGTGGAAACATAAAACCAAATATCAGCATTTCTTCATCATAATGAAGGACTGACTTTACTTTATCATTTCTTATATCCCCAAATCCCAAAGAGTTCATATTATTTCCTGAGTTCTAAGTTTGAATAAGTTGTTTTACTATTTTTTAAAATTTTTTATATTAATTTTATTGAGAAAGAAGTAGCATTGAGACAGTTTCAAAACAGGTTAGTAGGACATTTACAATAATTAATACATTGCACATTGTTGTCCTTGTAGTAGTTATTCAGAGTATAAGATGCAGACATGATATCTTGTCTAAACAATATTTGTACAAATCTTTTTTCTCATTGAACTAAGAGGCAGTAGCTGTATATCTATCCTAACTATTTTGTATATACATATTTTTTTTCACTACAAAATGGTCCTTCATTTATACCCCCCTTTTTTGTTTTGTTTTGTCAGAGATGGGTGTTCCATTGTTAGCCCAGTTTTCAATGAGTGCTTTTGTGTTCTTATTGATCAATATGAGCATGTAGATTAGGGATAGCAAATTCTTTGATCTGCTTGTTGCAAAAAAATTATTTCCAATTGGTTGTTCAGTGAAGGCTCACTGATGGTATTTTTCTGCCTCAGAAACTGACAAACTTGTTTTTGAGAAGCAAACCTGGAAAACCACAGATGAGGAGTGCAGGAAAAACTGCAGGTCAGAGATAAGGCTCTTGGGCAGGAGATGGGTGTTTACTATCCCAAGGTTTTAAGAAGAAAAACAAGCCAGGATGTCCAGATGGCAGAACCAAGGATCAAGAGAGACATGGTTGGTGGTACTGAGATGAAGACATCAAAAGCTCATGGGTAGATATGGTTGGGGGGGAACCTGAAGAGGGCCCAAGGGTGCGCATCTTGGAAGGGGATGGCTTCATACCAGGTGCTTCACCCATGCTAACTCCATGTACCTGTATGTTATACTTAGAATATGTTAAACTGAGAAGAAGCTCAGGAAAGTCCATGCATAGCTTTGCCATGATCACATGACTGCGAGTGAGTAGCACTTAGGTCTGTCTGGCTCTGACCTTGTGCAGTGATCGCTGGACTACACAGTGCTGAGAAGACTCAAAGGGACCTACCATACTGGTATCATCAGCACTGAGTGAGATGGGATTTATCCTGGTAGCACCAAGAGGTACAACAAAGACCAAGGCATAGGGGAGCTCATAGATGCAGACACAGAATAGGGGCCAGGGAGATGGCTCAGTAGAATAAGTGCTGCCCTGGCAAGCTCAAGGGCCTGAGTTCAATCCCCAGTTGATGATGATGACGATGATGATGATGACGATGATGATGATGATGATGATGATGATGATGATGATGATGAAAAGAAGAAGAAGAAGAAGAAGAAGAAGAAGAAGAAGAAGAAGAAGAAGAAGAAGAAGAAGAAGAGGAAGAAGAGGAAGAAGAGGAAGAAGAGGAAGAGGAGGAGGAGGAGGAAGAAAAGAAGAAGAAGAAGAAGAAGAAGAAGAAGAAGAAGAAGAAGAAGAAGAAGAAGAAGAAGAAGAAGAAGAAGAAGAAGAAGAAGAAGAGGAAGAAGAAACAAAGGTATAGTTGTAATAGAAATATCCAAAGATACAAAGCTATCTATCTGGGAGGTGGCAAGTTTCATCACCACCTGTATCTAAGCTAAGTTCGGATGGCAAGTTGATAGGAATGTTTTTGAAGAGATTCGTACGTAAGATAAGCTATTGAAATAGATAAACTTTGTGATCTCTTTAGCCCCACAATGATTTTATTTTATAAAAATCAGCTCTTCATATATTTATTACAGGAACTTTAGAGCAAAGTGTGAAGATCTGAAAACAAACATTTCTTGTTTTTGTTCATCTCCCCTACTTCAATAAGCGCTCTGAGTTCGTTTTACCTGGGCTACTTTTAATTGTGTTTAACACAGCTAGAAAGAGTGGAGCCATGGGCTAAGAGTGAGTTTGAGGATTGATGTTATCTTTTTTTTGTGTTTTGTGTTTTGGTTTTTTTTTTGCAGAACTGGGGATTGAATTCAGACCCTTGAACTTGCCAGGCAAGTGCTTATTCTACTGAGCCATCTCCCCTGCCCTGGATTGATCTTATTCATGTTGACTTTGTTGCTGTGACATAAACTCAAACACAGAGCTTGGCCCCAAAGCCAATGGAGTCCCTGAGCAGAGCTTGGGGTCTCTGGCCTGGACTGCCACTTCCCCTTGCAGCCTGGGTGCAGCAGTAGGAAGGGCAGGAATGGTAAAGACCACAGTGGAGATGTGTTGGCCAATTTTCAAGCCTCTACACATCCTCCCATGAGACTGTGCAAATATCAGGAGGAAGAGTCCTGAAGACATATGCAAAGTGTCACATATCACAGAATGGCATTCTGAAACTCTCTTCTCATACCATGGACTCACCTATCCCCAAATGCTTTTTGTCAAGTAGTAATAATTCTCGTCTTACAACGAGGGTGCTTTAAAATTCCTGGGTCTTTATTTAAGCCTTTCAGAAGAACTGACTGACATGCAGTAGTAACTCCAAGATGCATTTCAGCAGGAAGCTGAATCATTGGCTTTATTGTAAGAACAGGAAAGCTGGGCCCTATGCAATTTTAGCAGCAAGTTTCAGAAATGGTGTTGTAAGCTCTCAAATAAGTCTCAGTGCTGCTTTCCATTTGTGATAAGAGTTTGCTTTCTGTGCCCATTGGCCTCAGCCACTTTACAGAGCCTTTCTGCGTCCCAGGAATGCAGAGTCACAGGAAGATGGAGTAGTGAGGAGGTACAGGCTGAGCAGAAAGTCTTCCTCAACCCCTCCAACTGCAGCAAAAGACTTGTGAAGGCCAGGAGGCTGAGTCCAGACGGCTCCATCCTCTTTTCCACCCTGGATGTGGGCTGTGGGTAACGCAGAACTTCCCAGCACTCAGGGGCCCAGCGATGAACAGAAAGAATCTTAATTAACTTTATGAATTGCCCCTGCCACATGTGACCAATAAGCTGTGTCATCAGAATTCTTATTTGTTTCAGTCTTTGGGTTTTTTGTTTGTTTGTTTTATTTTTTGTCTTTTTGAGAGAGGGTCTCGCTATGTATTTATGTCTTTTTCAACTAATGAGGTAGTCCGCTTGTTTTCCAGGTCATTATGCATCCACTGAAACCCCGGATCTCGATGACAAAGGGTGCCATCTACATCGCTGTGATCTGGATCATGGCTACATTCTTTTCACTCCCTCATGCTATCTACCAGAAGTTGTTTACCTTCAAGTACAGGTGAGAGGAATGTGTAGGAGCAGCCCAGGACTCAGAGGAACTTACACGTTCCTGCCTTTTCTCAGTTGACTGGGACCCTAGCAAAGAACTAAGGCAGGCGGGCCAGATCCACAATTCTCTGAGTTATGAGTATCTACCTTGCTGAACCCTTTACCCTTCTCCCATTCTGTTGAGCCCTCGCCATGCTCATTATCTACATTTTTCTGCTCTTTTGCTTTATTCCTGCTCAACAATTTCTGTTTGCTCGTTCTTTTCGGTTTATCTGCAAGGAAAAGGTAGCTTCCGCCACCAGGGGGCAGTTGCTCACACAGACCGGGGTGGAGTCCAAATGAGCAAGGTCTAAACTCTCACCTGACTTGGAAACAAATACCCAGGTATATTTGCACTGGAGGGAGGATTGTCGACCCCCCCCCCACCTCTCATTCAAGTATTTATTTATTTATTTATTTATTTATTTATTTATTTATTTATTTGCGGAACCAGGGATTGAACTCAGATCCTTGCGTTTGCCAGTCAAACGCTTATCCTACTGAGCCATCTCCCTGGCCCCCTCATTCAAGTTTTTTATCTTGTGCTCTCACCACATGAGAATTTCTTTCATTTAAACACTTACCTTTGAAATAGTCCAGTTCACTAATGTCTAAATCCCTCTAGACTGTAAACTTAGAAAGAGCTGGCTGCATTTCAGATCTGCTACCTCAGTGATTCCAACATCTGGATTAGTTTCTCTGTGAAAAAGCCTAAATCGACATTGACTGAAAGAAGGGACCAAGGAAGGATTGCAGAGTGGTTGTAAACATTTTACAGTTATTTTAGGTGAGGTTCTTTACAAACCAGTCCTGTGTTGAAGATAGGTACACATGGAAGTGGTTTGTTAATGCTTCAAGCCCAATAGTGTTGGTGAAGGGGTGGAGTGGGGAGGGAGGGCAGGATGGGAAGGGGCAGAGACCACCCAGGGCTTGCTTTCAGGGGTAGCACAGAGATTCTGGAGCAATCTACTCAGCAAAGGAGCTGGGCTTTCACATCTCTTGGTAGTCATCTGCTCCAGGCACTGCTAGGCACTTTTGGCTATAGGTGAATTTGTGGGAAGAGTTGTAGTTCTAGGAACCTGGAAGATTACTGGTGCGGGCCAGCTGTGGGAGCTGGTACTGTGACTGGTCAGGGGTCCTTGGGGATTGAGAGCAGTGTACTGCCAGTGTCTGATATGGTCACCAGGTGCTATATTCCAGCACACATGCCTGTGACATGCTCCTGTGACAAAGCAGTGTCAAGAGAAACAGGCTCTGAAAGCTGATTTCGTCTAGCTTTTAAAACCTCCCTCCACAAATCCTAGGATATTGGAATGAATCACACAACCAGGCCTCCAACATGCAGCCTGCCTGTCTGCCTTTACCCATGGAAGATTTCTTTTTTCTAACAGAAACAAAGGAATTTTTTCTTCCTTTGTTAGTGATGGTCACCAACTTCACATGAAGACCAAGGTACGTCCTGTATGAAACAGATCCTTGTTAATGAGTGGCCAAAGGAATAAAAAGTTGGTACCATGGGAAATTCTAAGGTTGCCTCAAAGATGAGTCTTACTGGGCCAGCCAGATAGCTCAGCAGGCTAAAGCACTTGCTTAGACAGGCAGGGGGACTGGGGTCCAATCCCTGGAGTGCTGTGCCGGGCCTGCCCAGGGTGTGCTGAGATGGTGACAAAGACTGGGAGTGGTAGCACATGCCTATAATCCCAGCACTTGAGACATGGAAAACAGGAGGATCACTAGGAGTCCAATCTGTGTGGTGAGACCCTGTACTAAAATACATAAAAAGTAAAAAGATGAGTCTTTTGTGTTTAGAGTAGGAACTTCACTACTGTTGTATTAATTCAACAACTATCTATTGTATTTCTACTGTGGGCAGGAACCATGCAAGGGTAAGAGGATTCAGAAAGGTTCAGGTGTCTGGCTTACCTTTAAGGACCTCCTAGACTTGTGGGAAAACAGAAATATGATCAGATTACTAGGTGACAGCTTCAGAAGCACAGTAAGAGACAGATGTGACTGAGCCCACGGGGGGTGAGGGGAGGAGGCAGTCAGGGGGAAAAGCCCCTGCTCCTAGGGATGAAGCTTTTCCACACACATATCTCTTCCCTGTTCTACTCTTTCTCTCTCCCTCCTCCCTCCCCTCAGTAAGGACATCGTGCGTTCCTTGTGCCTACCAGACTTCCCCGAGCCAGCTGACCTTTTTTGGAAGTACTTGGACCTGACCACCTTCATCCTGCTTTACATCCTTCCACTCCTCATCATCTCTGTGGCCTATGCCCGAGTGGCCAAGAAGCTGTGGTTGTGCAACATGATTGGCGATGTGACCACAGAGCAGTACCTCGCCCTGCGGCGCAAGAAGAAGAAGACCATCAAGATGATGATGCTGGTGGTGGTCCTCTTTGCCCTTTGCTGGTTCCCTCTCAACTGCTATGTTCTCCTCCTCTCTAGCAAGGTCATCCACACTAACAACGCTCTCTACTTTGCCTTCCACTGGTTTGCTATGAGTAGCACCTGCTACAACCCTTTTATCTACTGCTGGCTCAATGAGAACTTCAGGATTGAGCTGAAGGCATTGCTGAGCATATGCCAAAGGCCACTGAAGCCTCAGGAGGACAGGCCACCCTCCCCAGTCCCTACCTTCAGAGTGGCTTGGACAGAAAAGAGCAATGGTCAGAGGGCTAAGCTCTTGCCTTCCTCCCAACTCCATTCTGGAAAGACAGACCTGTTGTCTGTGGAGCCCATTGTAGCCATGAGTTAGAGGAGGTGGGAAAGAGGCAGCTGGTGGGATCTGTCTCCAGCTTAGATTGGAAAATAATCTATCCTCTAACACAGGATCTGTACAAGGCTGGAAACAAGCCCCTGCAGAACCAGTAGGACTCTTGATTTCCTGCAGATATGCCCAACCTCCCAGCTTCATTTGCTGTGAACACTAAAAGGCAACAATCAACAGGCATCTGTTTATAAATTCCTACTTAGGAGATGCTGTGAGCCATAGCACCATTGATCCTTGAGCAAGAGAACCAAGGGTAGCCCTTGCTCAGCTGCCTCCAGCTGCTCACAGCTATCTTCAGCTTTTCCTGCTGCCCACTGAGCAGCCACAGAGGACTGTGCCACTTGGAGTGTGGCTGCCCCCCAAGCACAGAGCTCTGTTGAAAACAGGTTCACTGTTAGGTGAAACATTGGTAAGTCAGAGTAGACACAGAAGATTCCCTGCCTTGCCTTGCAAAGTCACTGGAGCCAAGACAAATAAGTCACAAGTCTTTAATGATCTGGCCCTACACGTGACATGAAAGAATCAATTTAGTCTCCTAACAGAGAAATTATTATTACCACTTTGAAACATGCAAAAAAGCACACAAAAGAAATTAAAGTCACCCCCTTATCTCATTGATTTGTGATCACTTCTTTTAACATGCTGGGATGTATTTGCAGGCTTTTCCTTTGTGTGTGTGTGTGTGTGTGTGTGTGTGTGTGTGTGTGTGTGTGTATACTGATTTTAAAGTTCCAAACTACACTTTGCCATTTAAATTGCAATGATCAGCAAGAAACATACGTCTGAGTACTTCTGAATTCTCTGAGGTGTAGCGTCTGGCACAAGTAGTGAGGAAGAGGTGAGAGAAGAACCCAAGGTGAAGACCGTCACCAAACAGACAGAATCTGCTTGTTAGTGGTGGACAGAGCCTGGCTGAAGTCTCTGCCTTCAGATGGAGGCCATGAGCATGATCCAAGGAACACAATTTGGCCATCATGTATAATTCCTTCTTTCCTGCAATTGCACAAAAACAAGAGGGGATGGAGCACCATTCTGTATTCACAAGAGATGAGGAAGCAGGCCTTCCAATGTGCCGGAAATAATTGTACTTAAGCACTGCATCTACCCAGCCTGCCTGGATAGGCCATTTCTCCACCTTGTCTGAGTAATGAGACTTTTTTTCTCACCAGTTCCCACTGGAAGGAAGACTCACTCTTAGCAGCACCTAGGCAATTCACATGTCACTTCCAAAATCTATGGATCTTTAAAGAACCCTTTTTTCTTAAGGGCTCACTTGCCAGAGAAATCTCATTCCTGAGTCTGTTTTCATCACTTCCATCTGGTCTTGAGTGACTCACAGTGTCATCCAGAGATAAGACATTTCAAGCAGAGGGGAGCTCAGTTCCCCAGCCTAGAACAATTGCAGTCACCGTGCTGGGCTATTTCCTTTCTGGCCCTGGAAATATCTGGAAAGCAAAGCATTCATCTGTAGCTAAGCAGGAAACTAACGTGGCAGGGAGAAGGAGTTTTCACAGTATTCATTTAGACCTCTTGGCTGTTAGTTGAAATGGAGCTTGGGTACATTGTCTGCTTCTCTTTAATAAACAATGGCATTTTCTTATACTAGTCTGTTAGAGGCTATTAGAAAGCTTTCAAGATAGAAAAAAAAATAACTTACCTACTGAATTGTAAATTAAAACAAATTGCTTTCATGGGGCAGAGAGTATTTCTCAGTCCAAAGGGATTCCCAAATTGGGTTTTCAGGCCAAACAGCTCATGTGCCTCTCCTTGTTGTCTTTGTGATGTCAAGAAGTAGGTATTAGTTTCACCTTAATGCTGTCACAGGAACTGTATAAGCCAGAAATGAGGATGGCAGCAGGGATGCCACAAGGGTGTCTTGTCCTGGGACTCATGGGGAAAGCTTCTGTCCCTCTACTATGAATTTGTCTACAAGTATAGCCAATTCACAGTGGATACCCTCGGGTCTGGGTCTCCAGCTGATACCTGTTTGTTGCCATCTCCCTGTGCCTGGTGTAGTTCAGAGCAAAAATGACTTGTGGTTGTGATTGTGAAATTTGTAAAACTTAAGTTTTTTCCAATGTGCTGTAAAAAATGCCTTGTTGTCACTGGCCCTAGTCTCAATAAAAGATCTTTTGGGTGTGTGAACTGTGCCTGTTGGACTTGTGACTGTGTCACCACTGAGACTTCCAGTGGGGGTCAGTGTGGGTTACTTGAAGGGAGCATGGAGATTATCTACCTAGAGCCTGAATTTTGCATGATGAAATTGAATCATGAAGAGGGTAGATAACCGACTGAGAAGCTTCTGAGACCTTACCCAGAGCCTGTCCCCCGGACTTGCTGCCAAGTCCCCTCCCTCTTCTCCGATAATGAATCCCTGCTGCATGTTTGAACTCTGAGCTCCATCTGTTTCTCGGTAACTCAGGAAGAAGCAAAGCTGCCACTGGAGACTGAAGAGCCATGTGTTACTCTCAGTGTGTGGTGGTATATAGGGAATCCTTTCTGGTCCTCATCTGGGTTCAGGAAGTTTATATTTGTAATCCCATGGATAAATTATTGGAATTCATCAAGTTAATTCCAATCTACCACTTCCAGTGCAACCCTCAGTGAGAATAAAGACACTAAGGTATATTTATAGTTATGGAGAGCCAAAGGGGTCCTAAGACCAGCCATGGTCATGGCTATCTGGAATGGAAGCTTCCACCCAGGGCCAAATGTGGGTTTTGTTCAGTCATTAAGGAGGAGTAGCTTGAGAACGAATGACTAAGAATTGCAGGAAGTGGGTGAGTACTGTGAGCTGGGCTAGGCAGGAGGCCTGCATTTACCTCTGTCATATGCAGAGAAAAGGATATGCAGAAAAAGTAATTTGCATTATACTTCTGAGATAGTATCTAACGTGTTGGGGTCTGGTGCTTCAGCTCTGATGTGTAAACTTTCAAGCCCCAGGAAGTCATAGCCTTTGTCTCCAGGCTGGATCCCAGCAGATAGTGTGCAGCGTTGGATCTTCATCCTGTCTCCACCCAAATCATATGAAAGAGCAGCAGGTGTGGGTTATCAGGGAAATATGCATGCCATCTTCAAAGACTACCACCAGCACCTCGGCTAGCCCAGTGTGCATTGCTTAACGCCAATTTAAGGGATAAGGAAAAATCCTAGCCAGCTCTGTACATATCAATACATAGAAATAGGGTCAGGCACAGCTAAAATGGATACAGTTGCTCTTCTTTCAAGGAGAGTCTCTCAGGGGGTTCTCCACAGTGGTGGTCCTCACCCTCCCTGTGTCTTCCATGATTTCTGCTGCACAAGTCTGGGTTCTGGCAGGTGAACTGGGTGGGACTCTTCACCGCACACCTAATTACACTGCCAGGTAGAGCATCTGTTATAATCAGTTTTAAAGAATTTCACAAGCAATTGCAAATAGGTGTGATTAGCTGGTCATGGAGGAAAATTTGAAAGATAAATGAAAGGCAAATGAGACAAAAAGCACAAGATCTGGTGGCACTCTCTGTGTACCGTAGTGTGCTGAATGAGCTATCTTGCTCACCCTCACAGTGATCCTCCTGGGGTGGACATCGTCGTTTCTGATTTTTAGATGAGGCAACTGAGGCTCAGCAAACTTAGATGTCTTGCTAAAAATCATACGTCTAAATTGGAAAAACATTACTTTCTCAGATCAGATTCTGAGAAAGTGCAGAGAAGAATCTTACTATGAAAGAATCCAGGCTTCTCCAAATTTTTTTGATTATGACATTGTTTCAAATAAGATCTGTTATCTTCCTACAATCCAGTGCTGGATTACATATTTGGATTACATGCTTGACTAAGTGTGTCCCTAGGGACCTTGCAGCTCTGTGATCAATGAACCCATGGTTCCAGTTTGGGCAGGATCATGTGGCTGCCTTGTGATCTCAGTTCTTGCTAGATCTGTCTTCAGACCAGCTTCTAAGTGACTCCTTTGTGCTGCTTCCTACTTGACTTGACGTGGTAGGTTGCCAAGATCCATCCTAAAGTCAGCTTGGGCTTCAGAATCTTCAGACAGCAGCAAAGCGAATCAGCTAACCCCTTATTACTCCCAAGCCTCTGGTGATGGAGCCCCTCAGGGTATCTGGGACCCCAGAGGAATTTGAAGGACTTGAAAAGGCTCTTTCTTACAGTGCAGTTTGAAGAAGTTAGACCCCTGCTGCCAGCTTCCTGCTGCTGTGAAGGCTGATCACTAGCATCTTCCTTTAGAATCTCCTTGCATCCGTTTCCTGCCAATTCTCTTTCATTTCAAGGAATAGTTAGGGAAGGGGAAAAAGCAAGGAGATGTGTGCAATGCTAAGTGCCTTTAGCAAAATGAAACAATAACAACAAAACAATAATAGTTAATTTAATGTCCAAAAACCTGGGCCCAATCTTTACCTTTCTGAGGTCTCATAAATTGTGTTGGAGAAAATAAGCTCTTTACTGCTTCATGGGAACCAAGTGCTTGAGTTTAGCAGATTCTTCTCTCCTCATGCTTCTAGGATGGCTGACTTCAAATTGGTCACAAAGTTGAGAGGCTTAGCTTAAATATAAGGGAAGGAAAGGCGTCACGAGCATGGATGGGGTTTAGCATCTTCATCGTCACTGGCAGGGGAGAAGGATACAGGTTTGTGTGAGGCTAGATGGAGACCACAGGGTTCAGTATATAACGTTTAGCTTTTGTTTTGGATGTGAGATCATGGGTGGGGATTTCAGATTGCAAGTAACTAATCAAACCAGATAACTAAAAGATTAGTTTCACACATGAACCAACACTAAGAGTGCCATCAACCAAGGATTACAACTAAACCAATGTTTATCCCTGTAGTCTCTAAACAAGTCAAAACAATTAATCAATGGAAATGGAGACCATCCAAGCCTTCACTTTTCTTCCCTGTACCCTACCTATCAAGTCATGTCTGCATTTTTTTTTTTCAGAACGAGGGACTGAACTCAGATCCTTGCACTTGCCAGGGAAGTGCTTATTCCACTGAGCCATCTCCCCAGCCCCTGTGTCTGTATTCTTAAAACTTGCAAATACAATTCACTGCCAAGACAATCAGGACATGAGAAGTATTTGTGCTTTTCAGAACAACCCTGTTTTTCTGGAGTAAAAACTTGCCTGTTTGTTTCCTTACTTAGTTTTCAAGATTACTCTCTTTTATTTTTTCAGTTGTCAGAGTTTGACCTAAGTGTATCCCTCATGTGTTCTGCCAGCCCCTCTACTGCACCCTGCACAACTGTGCATGGCTGTGTCCTGGGCTGGTCGCTCCACTTGTAAATGGCCATTCTCCCAGGACTTTTCTGTCACCTTTTGCGAGGTTAGAATGAATTCAATTTTACAGCGCCTGGTCTTCCTTTATTGTGGGTTACTCTCTTGCTTTGGAATACCACATCTTTCAGAGTTTCCCAAGAAAAGGAATCTAGGAACCCATTTGATCTGAGATCTTACTTGTCTGAAATGCATTTACTTTAAACTCATAATTAGCAAATGTCAGAACATAAGATAATGGATTGAAAATAAATTTCTCTCTAAAACTTGAAAAAACTTGTATTAATTTCATAGTACTACAACTGGGGCCAGTGAGATAGCTCAGTGGTCTAAAGCACCTGCCTAGGCAAGTTTAGGCAGGTGCTCAGGGACCGCAGTTCAATTCCTGCAGTACCACATGCCATGCCAGCCCTGCTCCCAGGGTGGGCTCAGCCCACCAACCACATATACAAAAAAAAAAAAAAAAATTAGCAGTTCCCTAGGTGATCAGAAGTCTGTCACAGCAAGGTGGTGTTCCTTTCCGTCTGCTCTGGGTAGGACCTATTTCCTGACTTTCACAGCTTCCGGAGGCCATCCACTCCTTGGCTCTCACCCTCCTTCCTCTAGCTTTAAAGCTAGCAGCACTACATCTGAGCTTCTTCCATAGTTGCATTTTCCTCTATGTCTTTTTCCCTCCCCTGTTCACTTTTTAGGGTTTTGTGATTGCATTGGGCCCACTGAAATAACCCAGATTATATCCCCATTTTAAAGTCAGCTGATTAGCAACTTTAAATCCATCCATAAATTCAATTCTCCTTTCACTGAACATATTCCCAGGTTGTAATGGTTGAGATGGAAACTTTTTTGGAGTAGGCCTTTATTCTTCCTCTCAGAATTGCTGAATTGACTTCTTTTTTTTTTTTTATTTATTTATTTATTTATTTATTTATTTATTTATTTATTTATTTATTTATTTATTTGTGTGTGTGTGTGTGTGTGTGTGTGTGTGTGTGTGTGTGTGTGGCCAGCTCAGCCCACCAGGAGGAGGGATTGGCTGGCATGTGGTGCTGGGGGATTGAACTGCTGTCCCTGTGCTTTGCTAAGCTTGTTCTAAGTAGGTGCTCCAGACCACTGAGCCATCTCACCAGCCCTGAATTGACTTCTGATGAGAAACTAGAGTTTGTTTTGTTTTGTTTTTTCCCAGTCTTATTCATGTGATCTAAGACAGTCCATTTTTGGTGGAAGCCAAACTGGTGGGTTGAATAGGCTGTAAGAGGGATCACAAAATCTATGCCTGTCAAGAGCTAATGTTAACACCAACTTCAATGATTCTTTCTAATTCACAGTATTGCTTTTGTTTCAGTATTTTCACAGGGAGGAGGCACTTCATGTGACACTACTCTATTGTAACTGTTTTGTAGTTCAGCCACTTATTAAGTATTCTAGCTCCATGCTGAAGAACTCAGGACTTAATCACAGAGTAGACCAGTAGATCCACCATGAGTGAGATATCAGCCAACATCTCATTTATTACTGGACTCCCCCACAAGGTTGGTGGGAAAGTAAAATGATGTTTGCTTGGTCACTGGATATTATGGGATTCCTGGACCTCATCCTGTAGCAATCACCAGATTTTCATTGCCCTCAACCCATGAGCGAAGATAACTAATTCCAGAGTCCCATTTCCTTGAAAGTCTGTAGCATGCTGTCTTAGTTACTTTTCTTTTGCTGAGACAAAATACCTGACACCCAAAGTTAAAGAGAGGAAGGTTTATTAGCTCACAGCTTGTGATAGTTTCAGTTCATCATGAACTGGCTCCAATGGCGGGGTAATGTGGCATCACAGGACATGTTC